CAGACCTTCTGAGGGTACTTCACGTAATCTTGGTAACCGGCTACGGGGGATCCAGGTTTCAAGCTTGGCCATGATCCTATTTTTCAGGTCAGTTCCTCTCGCACTCAACGATCCTTCTCCTATCGCACTTGGGGCTATGTACCCAATCTCAGGTGGGGGTGATGATATCTCCGCCCTGACCTGGCGTCCTGACCTGGCGTCCTGACTCCTCCTTGCCGTAGCATTTGTGTTGCCCTCTTTTTGCTCCACACATGAATCCAGTTCTCCTCCTACAGCTGTTTCTAGTTGTTTCATCCAAACAGCAAATTTCTCAATGTCATTTATTCTGAAGAATGTTTTTTCTATATATTTGGACTTTCACAGGGGGATTCAGTGGCCCATTAGGTTCTATCGTTGATGTTTCTCATCTATCTATCTACACATTTATATATGTATACATGTGTATATATATGTGTGTGTGTGTATATGACTAATCTGACTAATGTAGTTTCTCTGGAATCAGTAATCCTGGAATCCGGGAGCTTCCAACAGAGCTTGGTCAGCTCTCCAGTCTGTGGCAGCTGGACATCGAAGACCTCAACATTACTAATGTTCCACACGAAATAAGAAAAGAAGGTATTTCCACCTGCATTTTCTGTTCAATGACTGTGCCTAATCGAGGGGTTTGTATGTGCCGGCTTCTTTTTTTTGGTTTTTTGTTTATAGTCTGTTGTTCATAACATTTATATTGGTTCTTACCTCATCATATATTGCCTTACAAACACATGCAAGGAGTAAAAATTCAAAATTACTTTTTTTAAAAATGTACATGAACAATTAAAAAAGTTAGCATAAGTTCTAAGCATTGCATTTAAAAGTAAATTGAAGTGTGCTGGGTTTGTTGCCATCTGTTATTTCCTGTCATTGTGAGATGTGATCATATTCTCTAACGCTGGTATCGCAGGTCCTGCATCGGTCCTGGCTTTCCTCCGGGCACAGCTTCGAAAAGCAGAGCGTTGTAAACTGTTAAAGATGCTGGTGATTGGTCCACCACGGCAGGGCAAGTCAGCCCTCCTCGAGGCTCTGCAGACTGGCAAAGCCTCCCCCTTCACCCCAGCAGAATGTAGCATCTCCACCTCTGTCTGGGAGCTGGATAAACCTAGTGGAGGCAAGAACAAAGTGAGGGAAACAGACATTACGTAGTATTTATGCACGCACACACAGATATTTCTATTAATCATTTTATGACCCTTATATGGTCTAAATTTTAGAGATAAAAAAATCTACACATTGCACTGTGGTCAGTGCACTGTGGTCAGTGCACTGCAACTACTCGATTACGCTCTTAAGCAAGGACAAACATCTCTCCACTCAAAGTCAGTTTGCATCTTTGTGGAGAAGGATTCATGCTGTGCTATGATTAGCTTAAACACTACCATGAAAGAAAATCATTTCTGACATGACAAGAAATTCTTTGGACTGTTAAACCAAAGGGGTTGGGGTGGGTACAAAAATACATCATCACCTATTCTCAAATTCAGTTCATGCTTTAAAGTTGACCTAGCTCTCATTTTGCTGCCCACAGAAAGACTCTGTGATTTTCAATGTGTGGGACATTGGTGGTCAGGCCAGCATGTCCACAGTGAACCAGTGTTTCTTTACTGATAAGGCTTTGTATGTGGTCATCTGGAACCTTGCAATGGGAGAGGAAGCTGTGGCCAACCTGCAGACATGGCTGCTCAACATAGAGGTAATTTTTTTCTTTATTGCAATAGTGAGAGATATGACAATTCACACAGGATGTTTAGGCTGGAGGCGCATGAGGGAGATTTGTGTAAAAGTGTGGATGTCATAGAGCAGCAATATGTAGGAACATGTGTAATCTCTGCTGAGCATGGCGTGGAAGTCCAGAGGTCGAAATTAGATACCCCTCCGAGGGTAGCTGAGAATAACCAGACTAAGATTCTGTGGGACTTGCAGATCCAGATGGGCAAACTGGTGATGGCTAACCAACCAGACATAGTAGTAGTGGTGGACAAGCAGAGGAAGAAGGGTGTAGTAATAGATATAATAGCTATACCACGTGATAGCAACAGCAGGAAGAAGGAACATAAGGGCTGAGAGAGGAGCTCGAGAAGATGTAGAGGTGAAGGCAACCGTGGTAGTCGGCACACTCAGGGCCGTGACCTCCTAACTGGGCAAGTGGATCCCCTGGTGAGATCCTCCCCATTTTTATTTTCTAAAAGACTCAAGTCGTTGGGTATAAGAACCTGATGAGCTTTCTGTAATAAAAATATGTGTGTGGTAAGAGTGAGTGGAAGGTGTTCCGGTTTAAAGACACTGAATTTTGTTCTTTGACTAAATAAACGAGCCACATGGCAGTCGTGTTAATGGAAAGAATGTTGCTTCCATCACTTCTGAAATTGTCGTTTGAAGGATAGTCTCTAATTAGGCTTCCTGGATTTTTTCTGTTTGTTTTTTTGACCACAGTGAAATGTTTTCCAAGTTCTTTGTCTTTTGAGTTTTAGCTATAAAAAAGAAGAACAGAAACTTTACTCCAGACAGACGTCAGTCAATGCAAGTCTGTCAGACTAGTGACCCCAGCAACAGCAGAGCTGCGTATGGTGTGTTGATTCCAGGTTTAGTTAGAGTCCAAGATCTTTAACAAATGTATGTGGCTTGGTGCATGAATTGATCTTATATAATAAACTGACATCTACCATGAAAAAAATCCAGTAGTAGTGATTATTGATATTAAACTAATAGAATAGATACACCTGTGACACATCGGTATTCATTCTCTGTTTTACAAATCAAATCTTCAGGTTATTTTGTCATTTTTATGCTGTCAGTTATTATGTCTTTGCTTGTGTGCTGTATGCTACAGGCTCGGGCCCCTAACTCTGCAGTGATTGTAGTGGGAACACATCTGGATCTTATTGATACCAAGTTTCGTACGGAGAGACTGGCGACACTGAGGGCTTACGTTTTGGCTCTGTGTCGATCCCCATCAGGGACTCGAGCTGCTGGTTACCCTGATATCACCTACAAACACTTGCAGTAAGTACACATTTAACTTTTCTATTGCTTATTAACATTCGACTTCCATGCCAATATTGTTTTTGCTCTGTTTACTTCGTGCAAATTACAGACCATCTTACAGATCATCTCTTTTCGGAGTATTTATTCTTTTGTGTGTTTGTATACGCGTGCGTGCTTTTCTTGGTTTTCAGTGAAGTGTCCTGTAAAACTCTGGAGGGATTTGATGGTCTAAAGATGCTGATCTACCAAGTGGTTCTCTCCATGAAAGATAACAGCAGCTTAGCCTGTGGTGGCAAACTGCTAGGCAGACTGGTAAGCAAGCTAATGGTAAATGGCCTGTATTTATATAGCGCTTTACACATCCAGTCATCCACCCATTCACACACTGGTGATGGCAGCTACATTGTAGCCACAGCCACCCTGGGGCGCACTGACAGAGGCGAGGCTGCCGGACACTGGCGCCACCGGGCCCTCTGACCACCACCAGTAGGCAACGGGTGAAGTGTCTCGCCCAAGGACACAACAACTGAGACTGTCCAAGCCGGGGCTCGAACCGGCAACCTTCCGATTACAAGACGAACTCCCAACTCTTGAGCCACGATCGATTATAATCATGTACATGCAGAGACAGTGTTGCACTTTGACCCTTCAGAAATAGTGTTTGCTTTCTGTATAAATGTATAAAGTGTTTTTAAGAGTTATTTTAAATGACCTAGCAGTGGGAGACTGATATAGTAATCTTTATAACCATGTGTTTTGTCAGAAGTTTTAATTATTTATTCACTTATAATAAACATATTATCTCCCAACCTTAAGCGCAAGTTCTTGTGAGTGCGATAACCGGTGAAGGAAGTCACCTAGAATTTTCAAATTGATACCATCGTTGTGTCTACTAGGAGACTGAGGGGGTAGCACAGGTGGTGCCAGTATTGTATAAACACAGGCCTCTGTATAAACTTTTTATGACAAGTGATAGCATAGGGTTCTTATTTTACTTGAAAGCAAAGTAAATTTGTACCACTGTTGTCTCCTCCAGATTCCCAGAAGCTACCTGGCACTCCAGGAAATAGTCATAGCCGAGAAGGAGAGGCGACATTCTGAAGGAGAGGTCCAGTACCTAACTGATGCACAGCTAAATGACATCATTGAACAAAACCCAGGAAGTGACATCAGAGATTACGAAGACCTGCAGACTGGTATTATGACAGCAAGCATTTGAAATGTGGAAATCATTTATGAAAATTCATACATTTACATTCTTTATTTGGGACATTTTTCCATGTAATGTGATGAGCCAATACAGAGTCACCAGTCAGTGAGTCAGGAAGGTGTCTCCTTCAAAGCCATGGAATAAAGTCAGCCAACAACAGTGAACATAACAGCTGTGTACATTACCATATCAATGTTTTTGGTAACATCTGCTAACATTAAGTTGCCACTTAAAGAGATTCCAAAGAAGTACTCCGTTTTAATGTACAAAACAAAGCCTTATATGTTCTTCTGTGTGCATAAAACTAGAGATAATCCAGTTTATTTACATGGACACTTTGCTGCCACAACATTGGAAACAACTTTATTTATTTGTTTATTGAACCTTTTGACAAATGTAAAAAATAGATTAAATATTTTTGCGCATATGAGTTTAAATTTGTATCATATTTGTTACCGCCAGCATTTGTTACAATTGATTTCTTGTTTTAAGGAGCAGAAAAATGACAATGATCATGTAGAGGTCTCAAAAACTTGTATCAAACATGATACACATACAGGATTATGCATTTAAGAAGTGTCTATGAGGCCTTTGCTTTTAGAGCAAACCTCAAGAATCAATTAGCTCCTCAGTCCTCGAGTTCATTTTCACTGCTTTGTTGGTTTAAGAAAAATATGATTGTTTGGAACTTGTAACTTAGAAACTATGATCCTTAAGTGTGGTGTATGTTGTCAACATATAGAAGTACTGTATAAAGCTGTGAAATGTCACATTTGACCTTTTCAAGGACCGTACGTTATTCAGAAAGTCAAAGTGAGAATAATGCTATGCATAGATGCACAGAAACAGTTTCTGACTGCCATTGTTTGAACATATTGTACATATTTGTACATATTGGGATGTAGGGAAGACTAAATGGAGATTCTTATTATACGTAGATTTTATTTGATATTTTTTACCTTGGTCAAACTTTCATTAATTCTACTGCCTTTGCTTTCATTGGCAACATTTAGGAAACTCAGTTCTATTTGGTTTTATTTATATCGTGCCAAATCACAACAGCAGTTGTCTCACTGTGCTTTATATGGTTACATAAAGACAACAATGCAGAGAAAATCCCCAACACTTGAGGACAAAGGACAGAGTTTGAATTTCTTTTAAAGCCTGATGCTCAAAAGCCTGTTTTATTTGTTCTCATCAGTCGTCCGCCTGGGCCTTACTTAGAATGTCTCAGACTTTTTATCTGATTTAGTGCTCAGCTAAGATGCTTTTAAGGTGATTTTAACATCCATGAACATACTAAAATGTTCCGTTTCTATCTCAATGTCAGAACAAGATCTAGAACGTGATTAAAGTGGGTGGATTGTGAGTCTTTACCAGTAGGCAATACAGAGCTTAGATGGAGCCGATGGGTGAGGGGATTAGCTCAGTACAACTACCTGGAAACCTTCCAGGTGTCTTCCCTGCCTCTGCAGATAGAACAGCCACACCTGTTAACAGCAGCTCCCCTCTAGATCAGTGCACTTAGTAACTAATTGGGTTCAATTTAGTGGTTTGGAAAACGGAGCCCCAAGGGTCTAATACTTTCAAACAGCTGGAGTAACCTGTGAGAGCTGCTCATAATAATGTAGATTTTCATGTTTTTACCCTTACTGTTAAAGTGTGCTCAACTCTTTGGCTGATTAATAAGCTGGAGTGGAAGATTGCTGCCCCTTGTGCTCACTTCTGTGTGTTGGTGGTCTGGGAGCAGACACAGTGTCTATGGGGATGTGGTTTGGGGGTGTTAATGATACTGGTTCACTATAAATATCACATTCAAGCTTGCATCCCAATATAATGTGACATTTGACCTCTAATCTTATTTTTACATTTCACATCTGCCTCCTTTCAAGTTGACTCAACAGGTCTTTAAAGAAAGTCTTAAAGGGAGATTTAATGAGCTGCCTAGTTCGTTAGAGATACACTGTAGTATAACGTTATAGAGCAGTCTAGGCAGAGGTTTCCACTCTAAATGCTGCTTATTTGTGAAGCATCACCACATCGATGTGTTATTTCTTCATTGTTTCTTTCTTTTTCTCCTTTCTTCCCGACAACCAGCGATCGGTTTCTTGATAGAAACTGGAACCTTGCTCCACTTTCCTGACACCAGCCATGGGCTTTGCACTCTCTACTTCCTATGTCCCGTGTGGCTGTCGGAATGCTTGGAGAGGATCGTACACCTCAAATCCTCTCGATATATAGCAAGAAATGGAGTGATCCAAACTGAAGACCTCAGGGTGAGACTTGCCTTTCTGTTGTTTTGTGTGTTGAAACTGGTGTTTTGAAGTCATATCTATTGTGGTATCTGTTGTGCAGATGCTTTTGGTAGGAACAGGGTTCACACAGCAGACAGAGGAACAGTATTTCCAATTTCTGGCCAAGTTTGAGATTGCCCTGCCTGTGGCCAACAACAGGTAAGTTCTTCTGTCTCTCTTTGCAGTAGTTACTCATTACAGGTCCTAAACAGCTCTGAGGAAACATTCTCAAATGGGCAGCAGGAGGATTGTATGATATACAACTTAAAATGATTATCCTCCTAGGACCTGCGTCCACATATGTGGACATCGGATTTTGGGTTGCCTAGACCAAAACACTAAATTTCGCTCTACAAGGGCCTGATATCCACTTACGAGGACGTCATACTACCACTGTCGTATCGTAATTTAAAGCTATTGTCCTCTTATGTGGATCTCATTTTTCTTCAAAACAAAAATCAGGTTAAGAAAAATCACATAATTCTTTGTTTTTACATTCATCAGGTTGCAATCAGAGAAATTAGAAAAGCTGCCATGAAGGAGTTCAGGTCTCAGGAGGTTAAAGGAAGATAAAGCAACTTGTGATGTGATTGACAAGTTGCTCCTCTATGAGAGTGCAGTGTGTCTCAGTACATTCTCATACACCGGGAATATTTGTTTTCCTTTTGACCTCTTACAGCTATCTGCTGCCCCATCTACTTCCCCCTAAGCCAGCCCTGGACATTCATGGCTTCCGCCAGCAGACCCACAACACCCTCAAACGCCTTTTCAAGATGAGCTTCGTTCCTGCTGGATTTTGGGAGCGTTTCATTGCCAGGATGCTTATAAGCCTCCAAGAAATGGACATGCAGGTAGTTTCTCTTCATTCTCCAATTTTAATTGAGAGTTTTTCACTTTCGTGGCCTAAAATGTTGCATCTATGCAGTCATTTGAAAGCAAAATAAAAAGCACCAGGAGCCGGCACAGCAGGAATTCTGTGATCTACAGCTTTACCGGATCACAACAGAGGAGCCGCTGTAGCACCTTTAGAGTCCGACGCAGCCAGACTATCTACTGGAAGGAAGGACTTCTCGTCACTTTCGATGGAGGTTACCTCAGGTAAGAGCTGGAGCCAGAAGATATGGTCATTCAAATATTCATTAGACAAATAATTAAGACGTACATGGTGGGAATTTTAAGGGCGTCGACCTTTTGCTGTAGTTTCTGAAATGATTCATTTGTAAACTCGGAAGTTCAAAGACAAATGTTTTATCAAATTTCTTTAACAATTACTGATATTACAGTCGTCTCTATTATCATGCTTCTGTGTTATTGTCAATGTTCAGTGTTTTTTTATTATTGTTATTTATAGCTGAGATTGTGTTCATATGTATCACAGTACGTCTGAGTGCTTTTAATAATCAAAGCAAGTGGAAAATAAGACAACACGCTGAAGGGATGTAAACATTTTCTGTTTAAAGAAACTCTGAAATGTGAGCCACTACTTTCATAAACATTGGCCTAAAATGGAGAATGTGCAAAGGACAAATATTCCAGCTTTGATGCTGATTTTGAGCAGTGACACATGGAAAAGCCAGCGCCTCGTCTTCTCTGCTATTTGAATATCCTTTGAGTTGATGCAGATACTTGTTTATGTCTGTGCAGTGTGGAGTCATCGGATGTTAACTGGAAGAGGAAGAAGAGTGGAGGCATAAAAATTATCTGTCAGTCAGAGACCAGGGATTTCTCTGCTATGGCGTTCATCACAGACCATGTCAACTCTCTGATAGAGCAGTGGTTCCCAGGTCAGTACACTACGTGCTTTTTTGCAGTACCCTAGCAGAGCATCAGCTCACAGTATGTGAATCCCCTGTATCAAGCTGTACCTGGTAGCATTGAAAATACCCACTGAAAAAGGTCTGGGAGGTCTGGATTCACTTGGCTCGCTTGGGCACAGCCTGAGGAAATGATATGAATCCGCTTCCCTGTAGGCCCACCACTTGGGAAGGGCGGGGGCAGACATTAGGGTTGGGTATATTGTATGCTGGGTGGCAGACAAAGTTGAGGGTGGGGGTATGTTAACCATGCTCTAAGCTAATGGAGAAGGAATCTGAGCTAATATAGGAGGTGGAGCAATGCCACCTGGATACAGTTCAACTTTCTTTCACAGATATAGTATCATAGTAGACTGCTGTGGATCCAGTGTTAGTTGGGATACATCAAAGTGTGACTGGGTACATGAATGTTATAAAAGGGGTTTAGGTGGAGAATAAATGTGCTGTATGAATGTATGTGATGGGTGAATGAGACGTGCTGTACGAGTTCTTTTATTTGCTTTTATCCAGGGGTCTTCAACCTGAAGTCAGTTATGGTAAATGGACTGTTTTTTAGAGAGCTTTACTACTCTATTTGAGCACTCAGCTTTACACAACTTGGCTCATTCACTCATTCACACCCACTCATGAAACCTGAGTCTTCTAGTCTACATGTCGAAGTGTCTTTGGGCAAGACAGCAAAGTTGCCTTTGATGCATACATCGGGGTGTCAGTTATGTTAGTCATCGAGCAGTCTATCAATTATTCCATAGATTAATCAAGTAATTGGATAAGAAACACTTTTGCCTTTTTCCGTCTATCCATCCATTCTCTTCCATTTATCCTTCTCATGGTCGCCGAGGGGCTGGAACCTTTCCCAGCTACCATAAGGCAAGAGACCCTGCACAGGTCGCCAGTCTAACACATACAGGGAGTGCAGAATTATTAGGCAAGTTGTATCTTTGAGGAATAATGTTATTATTGAACAACAACCATGTTCTCAATGAACCCAAAAAACTCATTAATATCAAAGCTGAATGTTTCTGGAAGTAGTTTTTAGTTTGAGCTATTTTAGGGGGATATCTGTGTGTGCAGGTGACTATTACTGTGCAGAATTATTAGGCAACTTAACAAAAAACAAATATATACCCATTTCAATGATT